CCGTATTTGAACATAATCAAATAGATTATAGAGCCCAAAACAATATTGGTTGAAGAACTGATGCTTGTTTAGACAGGACATCAAAATACCCCATCTACCTACTTAAAGAAAATGTAAAGCTAATACATAAAATCACAAACTACAGATTGCAGCATTGCTAATCTAGAATATTGGCACACTAGTAAACTTCTCGTTAGCTCTCTAATAAAGTGCCTGGGCTACATTGGACAAGGTCTATGAAACATGATGCCACTACCCTGGTTTCTCATGAAAATGGTGAACGCATTACACAAATAGTTGACACTTACGGAACACATGGCAGAGGTTGTGAGAAAGAGAGAAATGAAGTTATACCTTTGCAATTGCCCAAAACTGAGCAAAATCCGCTATCCGCAGATTGCGGTCATCCACTAAGACGAAGCACACATACCACCAACAAAAGGGTCAATTTCCATACAACACTGCATCTGTAGTTAGTTAAAATGAAGGCAGTGCATGGGCACTGCATCATCACTTAATCTACAATCAAACTAGATCATTTTGCTCACTAAAGGTACTGGCATGCCTGTACCAGTACGGGTAGAATAACCTCAAATCACTTTTATCATTTTATGCCTCAAGACTACAATTTTTTTTTTAAGATAATGAAAAACAAGTTTGAAATCCTATCTAAACAACAATTCAGGCAGGTCATTTATGCATCCATGTTTTAAGGGAGACAAGTCTCATAGTTGGGCGCTTAGCACCAGTGTGAGCTACTGAAATCAAAGTACACACTGCCCAAACATCGTGGAAGCAAAAAACTTTCACCATATTTTACGAAATTCGCAAGTAATTCCATCTGGAAATCTCAGAAATTCCAAGCCTTTATAAATAGCTAGCAAAGAAGGGGGGGGGGTGGTGGTGAGGGGCGATTAGAGATATAACGTTTGATGTTTTCTGACCTTGGTCAAGAATAAAAAAAAGGGCAGGCATACCAATTATGAAGGTGAAAACACCCTCGTCAAGGGTCTTCTTAAATGCCTTTAGCATACTCGACCGATAAGCCTGGAGAAAAGACATGACAACATCAACAATGATGCCATTTTTACATGAATGGAAATATGGAAGTCTTTGATCATTCTATCCCTAGGCATGTCAAAATCATAATTGGCTGCAAAAAGAAATTAAGAGGAAAAAAAGACACAAGGTAAATAAATAACCGACATCTACCAACCACCCCCTGACCAAAAGAGATTCCACAAGGATTTAAGACAACTACATGCTAAAGTTGTCTATTTGCAATTTGCACACAGAGAGATTAAACTTATCAAAAGTTGAAGTGGTAATTTACTGGAATAACAAATGAAAGTGCCAATATATATATTGATCACTTGAAGGTGGTGGAATCAAATTCTATAGCAGCCTTTTTATACAACAGTGACCAAGACAAAGTCCCAGGGCTAATTTTGCCCGACACGACAGAATTTACATAACAGCTCCCAAAAGGCATGAACTTTGAAAATTTTAATCAAGTAACATAATTGTAAAACTGAAAAAGGCCAAGAATTTCAACATGAGACATTAAAGTCAAACTAAATTCTTTAAGTTTTGAATATTTTGAACTGTATTACCTCCTCCATTTCAGGTTCATAACAATACTCCATCACCTTCTTCACCACTCCCTTCTTGCCTCTAGCTGAACTCGAAGATTTTGAAACATCAATTTCCTCAACCTTTAGGACAAAAAAAAAACATAACACTTCAGTTAAAATTCTCTCAAGTGCCCAGAGAACACTAAAGACGGCTCTGAGAAAGTAATAGGAGGCAAAAAAGAGACAAGAAAAAAAAAAAACCTTTTCTACTTCTGTCATAAAATAATCATCCATGGAATGGACTCGTGGAGCATCACCACCATTTTCAACCTCTAAGTCTCGCAACATCTTTGCTAAGTAGCTCTTTCCACTACCTGATATCAAATACATTGTAAGATTTCCAGAATATGGTCAAAGGTGAAAAACTCCGAATGTAAGTGGGATGGATGGGGGGTTCTGTAGTTTTCAGCTCAATTTTGAAGGGGTAAGTATGAAAGTAGCTTTAGACTGCTGATAAAGCACTAAATTAAATATTATTTGCTTCTGTATTAGACTGGCAGCCGACTAGTGATCCAAAGTTAGCATTGTCGAAGGGACTTAAGGAAAGCAATGGGCACTTCTGAGAAATGAATAAATACCACCTGCACATATTACAAATACAAACTTTGGTACCTGGAAGGCCTCGTAGGATTATCACAAAATGATCTGGACGAGAGACTCTATGTGGCTGCTTAAATAAGTGTGAGGCATCAATAACTTTTGGCTTATCCAAAGATGACTGCTTTCGTGGAAATGGATATCCCTCTCCTACATACTGCTTTGACGAGTTTTGATGGGCAGCATGAGATTGCTTCGGAATTACAAAAGGGAAAAAAAAGTTTTCATTAGGAGCCGAGAAGCCTAATCGAATAATGCTACGCAAACTACAATGCAAGATAAACCATAAAAGCACACGAGGAAGTAACTATACCTCCATAATATAGCCAGTAGAAGCATGTGAAAATGGCTTACTATGAAAATAAGGCTGCGCCGGAGAGTGGGCTTCAGGATATGGCGGATAGGCTGAAGACCTCATTGGTGAGGAACCAAAGGAAACTGGAAACAATGAAGATGACGATTTTGATGGCGGATCCATTGGAAGAGGAGGTGGTGGAGTGGTGGGAAGAGGAGGCTGCCCACTGAATGATCGAGAAGCCCGCAGATGACCTGCATTTTCAGAAACAAATCTACCACTAGCAGGGGTCGAAAAGTAGCATCCGTTTTCATTCGTATTCGGAGTGGTGCCTTGTTGAGCAGCTCCAGGTAGTTGCCGCCCAAGTGATTGTCTCACAGAATGCTGCTGAATTCCGTAGGGTTGTGGTAGCTGATTGGTATGATCATAGTATGGTGCATTCACATGGGAATGCTGTGATTCATTCACAGGCCTAGAATCTTTACTTTCTTCAGCATACCTATTCGTTCCGCTATTCGAGACAGTATTACTATCAGAAACTGATCCCACCCCACCGTGATCACGAATCAGCTTCAATCTGCGGTCATTATCTGATGAAAGACTCGCATTGTTCGGGTTAAACTCCGTCTTTAAACCCGAACCATCGACCCTCGGCCTTTTAAAGTTCCTATCACCTTCACTAACGTACGCATTGCCACCATATTCATACGGTAGCGGCCCTGGTGGCGGACAGTGGGGTGGTGGCGGCGGCGGCGCCGCCAAACCTTCTCTGTACGGAAATTTACCATATGTGTCTAAGTCAAAATTAGGGGTTCTCTGCCACGGCCTGGGATTTTCAAACCCGCTATTCAGATTACCCACGAATGGGCTCTGAGTACCCATATAAGGGTCAAAACCGGGTCTTTGGAAGGGGTGACCCGAATCGTAAGGGAAGATCGGGTTTTTATTGAAGGGCGGATGCGGAGGGCAAAAGGGGAAGTGAGAAACTGAGCAAATAGGGCAGAGGGTACCTGGGATTGGAGGCCTATGCCGCCATTGTTGGTGCTGAGGGTCCATGACGAGCTCTGATTTGAAGATCGTCAGAACGTGGGGAAATAATTGAAATTAGGGTTTCGGATACTGTGAGGGACGCTATGGTTTCGAATCGGTCAACGGAGAAGAGAAGAGGAGAAGCATGGCCTGAATATTCCACAAAAAAAAAAATATAAAGCTGAAAAATTGTTTCGGACTTGCAGTTGAACTGTAGGAGGGAGAGGCAAAGCGGTAAAATTTTGGAAACTTTTACGAAAAATCTTTACTTTAAAGAAAAATCTTATTTTTATATTAAAAAATTAATTCAGATACTATTTATTTTACTGTTTATTTTGTTCTCATGGTTAATATTCAAAATTTTTAAATCATTTTGATTAATTTTTTTTAAAATTTTCCAATGCACCCGCCGTTTCGGTCTCAAAAACGTGCGAGACTTTTTAATGGAAACATAAGAACAAAATAAAGTATATTTACAATGGAAATTTCCCAGATTGAGGAGAGACATTTTTTTTGGAATAATACTTGCTTTCCTTCTTTGTATTCATTCTCACATTTACAAATAACGTATATTTACAATAGAAATTTCATAATTTAAAAACTTATTTTTAGCTATATTTTTTGAAACTCGATTTTAATCTCGCTTTACTTCCTGAAATTCAAAAGTTCGCTCTATTTTGCCCTCTGAAACTCATATTTTGACCCTATTTTACTCCTAAAACTTGAAAGTTGTCTTTATAAAACTTAAAATTTGCTCTACATTAACTTAGACCTGTTAATTTCTTATGTGAGTTTGATTTGAGTGCTCCAGGCTAATCAATTTCTTTTTTTTTTTAATTTCTTTTAAACTTAATATTCTTTGATGGTTAGACATTAGCGCATAATGGCAATTTATAATCAAATTTATTGCATATGCGATGTAGTCTTATTGAGTGTTGGATCCCCACATATGTTTCTAGAGGTGACCTATAAGTTTTAAGAATAAAAGAGAGTCCACAAGCCAAAGTGAAACGAATTTTGAGTTTTAAAGAGTACAGTAGTGATGATTTTTAAGTTACAAAGGTAAAGTAAGATCAAAATTAAGTTTCAGGAGACGTAGCTAAAAATAAGCCTTCTATTCAATGTCTTATATCTACCAAAAGTCATTTGAATTTGACATCTTAATCATTAAAGTATATCAAATAAATCAACGGTATAACGACCACGTAAAATATTAATCATTAGCCGTCCAAGTAATAAATCAACGGCATGGTGCTCAAGTTAATCACTTGCCTTGCTTACACTCTTATCACGAAGATTGTATTGGTCAGTGGTTCAAGATTCTCCACCGTTGGATTAAATCTGACGGTGGTCGACCAACATTTTTCTTGCACCCTATTCACCAGGAGAACAGGGAAACTTCGTTCGCCTCCTCACCCTCTTAAAATCCCCCATATTCTTCCTTTCTGATTCTTCTTAGTTAATTTGTCAATGGCCGGAAGTAGAAGCAAAGACCCGAAACCGAATTCAGAACCCGACCCAGCTTCCAAAAAAGTCAGGGGATTGACCATTGAAGGTTACCCAATTGAAGGTTTGTCCATTGGCGGCCATGAAACCTGCATAATCTTCCCAAGTCTCAACCTTTCCTTTGATATTGGTCGCTGCCCGCAGCGTGCTATTTCGAAGGACTTCCTCTTCATCTCCCACGCCCACATGGATCACATTGTATGTGCTTCCTTCTGCTCGTTTTGCTATATAGGTTTTGCTAATTACCTGTTTTTATGGATGGGTTTTATTTTTTCGACTCGATGGATGATAAGTGATGAATTTTTGGTTTTCCACTGACTTGCTGGTGTTGGGATTTTCTTTTATGTACTTGTGATGGTGAAAGATTTTAGCTTTTCTATCGAAAACTAACTTCTTTTAGTCATTGAAGTACTTGAATGATACAAAGTGACATGATTTTGCGCTTCTTTGTTGATTTGGTGTTGTTTTCAATTCGATACAAGTATGTATGTGTGTGTGTGTATATATATATATATATATATTTTGTATTAAGTGTTTGGTAAATGAGAGATTGGTAATGCTGCTAAATAATATATACTGCGTGATTGTTCATGGTTTTTTCGACTTTTTTCTGCACAAACACATGATAATTTGAGGACTTTAATGGAACTTTATAAGCTTAAACTATCTTAAATACGGGGTCAAATATAATGGAAATGTTTGAAGAACTAGCATGTATGGGAAAATTCGTGAGCAGAAAGCCGAAGATTTCTGATGGTTACAGGGCATTGCGTTGTTAAATGGTTGAAGAAGGGATATCTTGGTTACTATGCTTAGAACCCAAGAAACGCAAGAAAAGAGAGAAAAAGGTCTAAAAAAAGGTTCATGTTTGCATCATTTGATTTTCCTTATCATTTATGGATGGACCATTTTTGTTGATTAATGTGATAATATCTGGCCATGGTCAGTGGTACTGCACTTCTACTCATGATTTATATCTATATGATAGGGAGGATTGCCCATGTATGTTGCAACCCGTGGGTTATACAGTATGAAGCCCCCGACGATAATTGTACCAAAGTGTATAAAAGAACTCGTGGAACAACTTTTTGAGGTGCACAGAAAAATGGACCAGTCGGAGCTGAAGCATAACCTTATTGGCTTGGATGTTGGTAATCATTGATCAGATGACAATTGTTCTTCTTGTGCCTTCTACTTGCAGAATCGATTTCCTGTTTATCTTAAGCACTTTATGTTTGCAGGAGAAGAATTCTTTATGAGAAGGGATCTCATTGTAAAAGCCTTTAGGACTTACCATGGAATACCGAGTCAGGTATCCCATTTATTGTGTATTTGTAACACTTTCTCGTTCAAATTCTACTAAGACTTTGAGCAATAGCTTTTGTTGAGATTTATTGAAATACTAACTAGCTATGCATGATATATGACAGGGTTATGTAGTATACTCCGTAAAACAAAAACTTAAGCAGGAGTACCTTGGCCTTTCTGGGAATGAAATTAAAAACTTGAAATCATCAGGTGTTGAGGTGTGTCTTTAAAATCCTAGATTGCTTTTACTTTTTAGTCTCCTTTAAAATTGATTGCATTTTTTTCGTGACAAGTACCGATTGATTTTCCACTCTTGATTGCATTTCTCTTTTATTTGCAGATTACAAACACTTTTACAGAACCTCAAGTTGCTTTTACAGGAGATACCATGTCGGACTTCATAACAGACAGTAGTAATATTGATGTGCTGAAGGCAAAGATTCTTGTTGTGGAGGTGAATCACTCGCTTAAAGTTCGTAGCATGTGTGGGGTGCGGGGCTATTATAAGTGGTTAAGTGTATAATGTGCTATACTTTTTTCCTGTCTTTCATGCAGAGCACCTTTGTAGATGACTCGGTTACAGTGGAGCATGCCAGAGACTACGGACACATACATCTATCTGAGGTTCGTCTCCAGAGTCATTAGATTCTTTACTGCCTGCCTTCGTCAATCTATGATTTTCGTTGTATCTATCTAGGCTCCCCCAATGTTTGATCTTGTCATATCTGGACGGCTTTCTTTCAGATAATTAGTCATGCAGAGAAGTTTGAAAACAAAGCAATTCTTCTTATTCACTTTTCCGCTCGATACACAGTACAGGTATGATGGTCAGTTCCGTAGCTGCTTTGTATCTTTGTCATTGAGCTATTGACGTTCATGCTTGTGTTTTACCAGGAAATTGAACAAGCTGTGTCAGCATTGCCTGCTCCTTTAGCAGGCCGAGTTTTTGCACTTACAGAAGGTATTTGATGGCAAAGCTAGTCAGCTGCTTTGGTCTTTTCATGAAATCAATTTTGGCAACTTAAATGTCTGCACTGAAGACAAGCATATGGCACGAGAAACCTCTGATGCAGGCGGATCTTCAGCATCGTGGTATGCTGACACAAGATCGAGAAATGAGTACAAGAACACATAGTTAGGCAATCCAGCCTATTCGGGTTTTTATTTGCTTATCGGGTGTTCCTCTTGTATAAATCCCATGTATTTCAGTAGCTTCTCTTCCCCTTATTGATCAAAATTAAAGAGCTGGGCTAGCCATTGCTGATTTGTAGCCATACTCAAGTTCATTGATCTTATATATTAATTTTAGATTGTTTTAAGGGTAAAACAGATGAATTGTGAACATTCGAAATTTAGAACTTTATAGTTACAGCAATTTCTGCAAAAAAAATTACAATTTCACGAAAGCAATTCAGGAAGAAAATAAAACATAGTAATGGAAGCGAGTTCTGCACTCAAACTTCAGCCATCAATTTACCAGCTACACTGGCCACAGAACAGCAGAACCTTGCTTCCAAGGCCACCGAAGCAACCAGTTCGTTCATCGATCTCAGCTCTTCGTGAAACTCCGGATGCAACACTAATGCAGAGTAATTCTCATCCACCACCAATCCCATACATTTCACAACATCTTCGAGTTTAGGAACCCAATCACAAGCCTTCAAACCTGATGCTGTTGATGCCTGAGGAAACCTCTCATATTTCTTCAGCCACTTTTCCAAATACCGCAGCAAACTCTTCATCTCCTTCCCACTCAACTTACCAATCGCAGCAGACAACATCACCTCGTCAAGGTTCTTCGAAGCCAACAGATAATGCAGACAGAGTTCTGCAGAAGAGAACCCATCATACGCTACCATGAGCAAAACTGCAGCATCTTTTGCAACTCTTAGTTTCTTGTCGGAGAGACTCTGATCACCCGCCTTCTCAACCGTGGCCAATGCCCGGCTCTCCCATTCCTTCCTCACATCCACAAAGCTAGCATAACCGTCTTTAGGCGGATCCAGAAAGTACTTCAAGATCAGCAGCAACTCCGACGACCTGAGATCAGAAGCATGCTTAACACAAAGACAAACCAACTCGGACCTCCTCTTTTCCACGATTTTCGGAACCAAATGCTGATAACAAGAATTGGGGAAAACCCCATTTGCAATCAAAGCACCCACCAAATCCCAAATCTCCAACACCACACAGGCTTCCAAAACCAAACCAGCAACATCCTTGCCCATCAAGTTCCCAACTTTCTCAATCAAAACCCGGGCATACCCATCATTCGACGAATCGACCCCAATCGATTCCCCAACTCTCTTTTTCTCCCAAATGTTCTCAAGAAATGAATTTAAGGTTCCCAAGAACTCAACTTTGGTGAAACTGTTTGGGTTTTTGAGCTTCTTTTGGAGCTTGGTGAAGAACTTCTTTCCCGAATCGATGAGCTCGGAGTCGGTTTGTGAGATTTTCCATCCGGTGAATGGGATTGCCGCTGCCGAGGGATTTGGGTCGTCGAATTTGGGTTTCAAATTATCAAAAATGGGTTCAGGGTCAAGAACAATGGGGTAATCTGATGGGGCGACTTGGGTTTGGGATTTGGCCGAGGCTCTGGCAATGATTTCGAGCAACGACATGGTTGATAAATTTAAAATTAAGAAAAGCAGACTGCCGTGCGAACCTGAAGAAGCGCGGAGCTTTGGCGAGTGCGGCGGCGGAGGCGGCGGAAAGTGCAGAGATTGGGAAAAATTTACTGGCGCTGACTGCTGAGTTCTTGTTGGGCAGAGAGAGAGGGTTGAGGAAGGGTTTTAGTTCGCGGAGACGAAAGAGGAAATAGGGTTTTAGCTAATTTTGGGCCCATTTTTTTATTATTGGGCCTAAAATCCAATGGATCTATACAGATGTGGGGCCCATATCCCGTTTTATTTTTTTTATTTGGTCAAAAGTTTTTGTTAATTATTTTTTTATTACAAATAATAGTAAATTTGGAAATGTTGAAAATACTGGTGGGTTAATGAATGACCACAGTGATATTGAAAATATTGGTAGATTTTCAATGCCCACACAAAATGATATGGGTTTGGGAAATGAAGGAGGATCGTATTGTCAAAAGGTGTGTGCTGTAAATTTCAATGCATAGTTAATACGTTTGTTTGGAGTTGCTCTATAAATAGAGCGCTTTGTATACTTTCAAGATTTACAGAGAACAAGGAAAGATCAATAAAATCATTATCTATCCCTCCATCTTTTATTTGTCATCCCCTTGTGTTATAGTTACAGTGTAATATTTTACACCTGCTTCGCTCCTGTCACTATTATAGGTTATCTCTGTAACTTTTACATATTTATAACAGGAAAGACTTTTTCAATTATTGTCACAACAAAGCCAGCAATCTAAAGGCTCTAGCATCTGGTTACCGCCAATATTAATTCAAAGTGTTTAAAATTAAGAAAACACTTAAACCTATCAAGACGTCCACCATATACCGGCTTATACCACATTGGTCATGATTCTCACTTTGTTAATAAATTGTAAGAGACTCATGATTGATTTTTTTTTTTTTTTTTTTTTTTTTTTTTTTTTGTGGAAACTCCTGATTGAATATTTCAACAATTCCCATATGATCCTCAACCAGAATAAAGTATCACTCCCTTTCTCCATGAGGCAGATGTAACAGAAAGGAAAGAAGGCAAGAGGAAGAATAACTAACTAGAAGACTTGGAAGAAAATCGCCTTCATTTTATTTCTAACTAGAGAAAATGTCGAAATGGTCAGCGGTAGCTGCTATGTCCTACATCAGTGATGTAACTGAACCTACAATTACATGCTTATGAAGGCGCCGCGTTCTTCTCTTCGAGTCCTATTGACGCTCTCAGGTGGAAGGTGGAGTTTGCCATTGCTTTGGCAGTGGACCAACATCGTAGATGATTTCTCTATGGCAAGACCACACCAGCTTTATTGCTTCCGGGGTCCCAATGCCAGCTCCCCTCGGGTCTCCAGCTGGTCCAAACCTGTCACAAATCATTGCTTGACATGTATAAGTGCTCGGAGATCTTAGTGAAGTACTCAAAGTTTAAGAGATTTTGTACTCACCAGTGATTCTGTGGAGCTCCGGTTGTTCTTGCTCTCAGTCCTGCATAAGTAGTTCCATTTACCGTGTTCCCAATAACTTCCTGCAAATAGACGTTCGGAATAAGGAAAATGGAAACTGGGCAGTTGATTCAGAATCCGTCCTTTTAGTTAGAAGTGAACTAACAAGATTTCATGAAACGGCTCCAAGGGCCAGGCGGGTTTCAAATGTTACGCTCATAGGGTTCATTAGTTTGTATTAACCCCATTCTAAAGAATACGATAACTAATGTTTACAAACTTCTTTAAGCCAGGGTTGTAAACTTGTATGATGTTCATTATGTATTTCAAACTAAGAACAATATGTGATTATAAAGAGACAAAGGTCAAATCTTACCTGTAGAAACAGTGGATCGTTTGAAACGACAGCAGCTGTTAAATGTGCATGCATCCTCTCTAGAGCATCCAATACCAATGGGAGTTGATCGTTCTTATAGTCGGTAACAATCTAGGAGCAAACAAATTAACGTTAGTAGCTGTGAGAATTGTCCCACAGTAGCAATTACCTTCTAGATGTGAAAAAAGTATTAATGATAAAAGATGCACAAGGAAAAATGAAAAATAGAGAGCGCTCTCTGCTCGCCCCTCAGCCTGGATTCAGTATTGGAGCACAAAATATGAAGCCCAAATGTTTACTCTCGGTGGTCCTCTCAAGCACCAGCCAACTTTCAAGTTGTCTAGTTTTATAAATCTTTTGAATAACAAAGACCAATGTGCAGTTCTAAGGAAACTCGCAAGTCCTCGCCACACAAACTTTGACAAAACAGTAAATTGAATATGGTAAATTACAAAAATATGAGAGGAAAAGAAAGAACTTTGGTAGCATGCTTTTTCTTTGTTACCTGAAATGGCCCAAAAATTTCTCTTGTTACGAGTTCATAGTTCTTGTCCTTCAGTATTTCTTCAAGTGGAACAAAAATGGCCGTAGGTTCTATAGCACCATATACGGGTGGAATGGAATGATTCGTTAAAGGTTCGCCCCCAAAGAGCACCTTTGAACCTGGTATCTGAAGCAATTTATTCTTGTGTTCTAGCATGGCTTCGGTCGTGAACTGCATCAGCAACATAAGCATGTAAAAAGATAGGCTGTTAAGTTGGTACAAAACAGGACAAGTAATGTACGTACTGTAAGGACAGGGCCAATGGTTAAATCTTCTAAATTCCTTCTCTCAGCCAGATCTTTCATTTTGGATAGAAGTGACGTCTTAGACCAGTTCTGCACAAATATATAAAAGATCAATGATAATAAAAATGTTGACAGTTTCGTTGAACTTGAAATTTCTCAACAAAGAACTACAGATTCCAGAAGGTTTGAAACCGAGAGTCTTACCTCATGGATGAAGAGCATCGATTGTGCAGAGCACTTCTGACCACTACATGCATATGCATCCTGATCACAGACCCATGCAACATAGTCTTCCTGCGATATGGAAATGGAAACGGATAAATCAATACTGGACGTGACTCTACAAAGAAAGAGTTGTATACTCTAGAAAAATAAAATTGTCATAAGAACCTCATGAACGTCAGGCCCTAAAATCTTCCAGTCAAATCCTGCATCTTCCAACTTAACACGACCCTTCAGGTCGCCAGCCAACTTATCTGCCACTCTTGAGCTACCAGTGAAAAGGGTCATTCGTGGATTTCCCTGTTGACACAATAGAAGTAAAATGTTCATTCAATCGACATGTCATAAGTTAGTAGTGTAACCTCTAGGAACGCAAATATGTGGATGAAAGCTATGAGAGGTCTCTTCCAGAGATTATTGCACAGTTTCAAAATAATTTATTTGCACATTGAACCAACCTCTAATAGTAGCTTGTTCATTGCCTGCCCATCAGAATTTATGAAGTCAACATCCTCTGTCGGTAGCCCACAGTAATGAAGCAGCCTCATCATTTGCTCCATAACAATGCTTACCTACAAAAAAAATGTTTGCTCACCAGTTAAATTATAACGAGAAGAGATCGCAAAGAGAAAAACGTATCTAAAAGCTAACTATAAAGGGTTTCAAATTGATCAAACAATTGATTTAGACTCAGAATGTTAGCCTAGCATACCTTACTATCAACTTTGAGGACTGGTTTGTTACCCATATAAAGTGCACCCATCAACTGAAGTACAGGAATTTCTAGTGGAAAATTAAAGGGAGTAATGATTGCAACCTGCAAAAAGAATCGTTTATCATATCCAATTATGAAAATAACAAAATT